TTTTTGCCATGCCATGTAACTACTGAATAAGTAATAAAATTAAACAACGTGACATGACATCGAACGTCAGTGAGATCAGCGGAGAGGAGTGCAGCACAGCAGCAACAACAACAAAATGTAAGTAAAGTTTCAATTGAAATAAATGAGAAGGAGAAAATTGTGTGTGGATGAAGGGAATTTATTGAAAGAGAAATGGTGTTAAGTAAGTCCAAGGATGAGCATCAATCAAATCCTACAGTGAAAGCTTATGCAATTTTATGCAATTTATGGAAATTGCCCTGGCCTCAATATGTCGTGCTCCTCTCTCGACACTTGGAAATTACTTTTTTTTTGTCACTTTCTGATGCATTTTTTTGTGCTTGCTGTTTGGTCTGGCTTGATCTGATTGATTAATTTATGATGAGATTCTCTGAAATGTGTGTGAATTAAAGGAAATTGCACACTTTTTTTTGCTTCACTGTAGCTTGAATCAGTCTGTTTTGTATTTTATTTTTGTAGGATGTTTTTGTTTTGATAGAATAAGATATAAGCTGATTGAGATTGTTGTTGGGGTTGTTGGAGTTGAAATTGGATAGCCTGGATAGTTGCTAGCTTAGTCTGATGTGTAGCTTTAATGGTAAGTTAATCTTAGAGTCACCAGCTCATTTAACCTTAATGTATAGTCGCTTTTGGCAGAGCTCGGAGTTAACTCCGAAAAAATTAAGTCGACTCGAAAAAACCCGAGTCAACTCGAGCTCTGTTTTTTGGTAAGGGTAATTGGCAAACGGTTGTAAGCGTTAAAGCCAGCTTTAGGCGCCATCTAAGGGAGGCCATGGATCACAATTGATCTGTACGGTCAGGGGTATGTAAGTACGTAAGTAAAGCCTTCTAAGCTAAGGGTAACTTTGTTGTGAGCTTAAAATAATGAAAGATCACACTATTGTCTTCATTAAGGCATTCTCATACCCTAGACTAGTTGTGTCCAACCTTTTTTGTATCACGGCGCACTTGGTGGTAAGCCATGACCAAAACCTCACACAGCATGCGGGTTGTGAGATATTTAATTTTTTAACGGCCACACTAGTATGACCATCACTGCCGTAAGCTTGTCTGTTAAGAGACTGCATTGATAAAACACCTTCTATAAGGTTAACTATGGAGTTTGTGGACCAGATGACCTCCTGTTGTTATTTGGTATCCATTATTGAGACATATTAGCTTTATACTGTCATAGAAGCAAAATATATCAGCTATATATTCGTACTAGCTTTATAGAATGCCTAGTTGACTATTGAGAGCGGAAATAAATTTTAAAAATATTAAAATTCTCTCAAAAATCAAAAATAAACCTCAAAACATCAACAAAACCTCCAAAAAGCTTTTCTATGACAAACATTTTTTTCTATCCTCACATCTTCTATGATTTCTATCACATAGATCAGTTTCCATTCACATTTTCTCTATTCTCTCATTTATTCTGTGCTTTTTTTCGCTCTCTCAACTTTTTAATTTCTCTTTAAAAACTTTTATTTCCCCTCAAAAAAAAATATTTTTTTCTCATTTTGTCTTCTGTGTCGTTTTCATTCTCACTGCATCGAGTTGTGTGCTTGCTGCTTCTTCATATCATCAAATGTATATTCACTTTATTAATGTGAGAATCAAAAATGAGTTGAGGATCACTTGAATATAATTTAATTTAAGAGAATTTTAAATGAGTTATTTTATTTTGTAGTTTTTTTTTTAAAGCGGAAGTTGATGGAAATATTTAAAGTTATCGAGGTTTAGGGTGGGTTTGGTCGATCGTTGGTAGCTGATTTGGTGATTTAGAGACCTGAAATCGTGAATAGTAATTACCTTAAGCTTCTTTAACGCAAACAAACCTCAAAATCAGATATTGTATTCCAAACTATGCACCAAAGGTACCAAACCTCCTCCTGAAACTTAAATAAAAAAATCCAGCATACAGTAACAACGACAAAGTAATAACAATCATAATATTTTGACATTTTTATTAATCAATTTGTTTGTGACAATCGCATCGTATTAAAATTAATGACATTCAATTCAATTGTGATTAGATTCTTACACTATACTTTGTTTGGATATATTATTAACTATGCTATCATCTTTATGTATCGAGCTATTTCATTTCTATTTCATTTATGAACAAATATCATCAAATTTCTTTATTTTATTTGTAACTTTATTGGTTTCTGTTAAGGAAAAATTGGTTTTTCTTGTAGATAAATATATTATTTTTGTAGGTAAAATGTGAGGTGTCGTTGGGGTGGTGATTGGAGTAGTCATGTGGCAGGACTGATTTTATGCCTTAGTGTGAAGGCACCTTAATCTCAAAAAGCTCAAGTCTGAAGGCACCTTAATCTTAGATCTCAAGTATGTAGGCACCTTAACCTTACAACTCTAGTGTGAAGATACATTAACCTTAGAACTCTAGTGTGAATGCAACTTAACGTTAGAACTCTAGTGTAAAGACACCTTAATCTTAGAACTCTAGTGTGAAGGCACCTTAACCTTAGAACTCTAATGTGAAGACACCTTAACCTTAGAACTCTAGTGAGAATGCATCTTAACGTTAGAACTCTAGTGTGAAAGCACCTTAACCTTAGAACTCTAATGTGAATTTACCTTAATATCAGAACTCTAGTGTGAAGACACCTTAATCTCAGAACTCTAGTGTGAAGATATCTTAGCCTTAGAACTCTAGTGTGAATGCAACTTAACGTTAGAACTCTAGTGTAAAGACACCTTAAACTTAGAACTCTAGTGTGAAGACACCTTAACGTTAGAACTCTAGTGAGAATGCACCTTAACCTCAAGAAACTCCGTCCAGCCAGTCAAACCTACTCCAAATCACACCCCACACCCATCCTCACAGTAAAGTACAGCACTATTGTTAGTTAAAATGACTATATAAAAAGACTAAGTAAGATAGTTTTTTTGTTTTGTAAAAATTTCATAAGAAAAAGGCCTGAAGATTGTTCAGTCAAAAGATTCTGCGAGAAATCTCACAACTATTGGTAAATTTTTCTTGTATTTATTTTTTTGTGTATAATTTCTTTACTATCTTTAGGTTTTGAGCTTCCAATAATCAAAACTATTATGGAAGTTTGAATTTATTCTATTTAAAGTAACTTACATAATTAAAATCTAATGATTCATTTCACTTAATTTTCTAAAATTGAATTAAATTTATTTTGTATTTTTCTGTATACATGTATCGTTTAAATATTTTTTTTTATTTATTCAAGATTTTTTTTCGTATTTTAATTTTTTAAAATAAATTGATGATCATTATGACTCAAGACAGGTTTGGATCACATCCAGTTAGAGTCAACACACCCAACTAGAGACTCATGCGGATATGCTCCATATCTGAGCTGAGGATAAGCTTAAAATCTAATGAAATTTTCGAAATTTGTTTGACCTAAATTACATTCAAAAACTTACAGTAAGTTTGTTGTTTTTTGATAAGTTAAAACTAGACATTTTCCTTTGCAATTCTCTTTGTGAGATTTTTTTTTAAATAATTTTTATTTTCAGATTTTTTTTTGTAGATTTTGTTTAGGAGTTTTGAGAATTTGATGCTTGCGTGGGGTCTGGTATTGTATAGAATGCTATATATGAGTGTTTTTTGGATGATATTGCTGTAGACAGGATTTTTGTGTCTGCAACAAGGATTTGGAACTCTTTTGGAACTCCTAGAAACGACAACTGATCTGAAAAAGCTTGCTAGTTGATATTAGAAGAAGCTAGAGTCCTGGCATACATTAATAAACCCTAACATACTTTCATATAAGCAATGGTGCTCTTCCTAACCTAAGAGAACTCTAATCAACACTAAAGCTCTACCCAAATCGATTGCAAACTACAATGTCCTCTACTCAGCACCCTCAACTTCAAATCATCTCATTCTCAAGCTTCCAACAACACTTGAAGAAACTTTAGCTTTAAACTACTTAGTAATTGAAAACTAATTTACATCTGAGACAACTAATATTGTATTATTGATGCTACATACTTTGATAATTTACTTGCTACTAAGATTATTTCTTTATTTTTTTTTACACACTGATAAATTTGTTCTTTTCATTCTTTCATGACTTGACATTGCATTGATAGCTTTACATATAGAAGATGTAAATAAAAAGATTTTTGAGAAGGAGTTGGGGTTGGTTTTGGTTGGATGTAAGCATGGAGATCTCTTGTATTGCTAAGCATTTAGATTTCATAGTTTTTGGGTATCTTAACCTCAAAATTGTAGGTTAATCGTTCTTCAAACATAAATGACGATATTAAGACAACCTAACCTCAAAATGGTAAGAATGGAGTATCTAACCTCAAAAATGTAGTTTGAGCGGTTTTCAACCATAAATGGTGATATTAGGACAACCTAACCTCAAAACTGTAAGATTGAAAAATCTTAACCTTAAAACTCTAAAGTTGTCAAAAAATATTGAAAAAAAGAAATTCACCCAACGGTTCATCCCAAGCATGAATCGAACCTTAAACTTGCCTGTCAAGTGTCCAGACCACTAAGCTATTGGGCATTGATATTAAACCTGGCAAACTTTCATTTAATAGCTCTAAGGTTGTAACAAGGACATAACCTCAAAACTCAAAATTCGAAAATACATAACCTCAAATCTCAAATACTAAAGTATCCTAACCTCAAAATACATAGCTCATATCCAGTAAATCCACCAAAACTCCTCTCATATCTCAAAATTTCATTGTAAGAACATTCAAAAAGTTTCCATTTTTATTTAAAAATTTCATAAATCCTACTAAACACTACATCAAATTATTTTAATATGTCTAAGATAGAATTAAGAAGTAAAAAACAGAAAAATTTTCATAGAAAAGTTTCCTAAAAATAAAGATAAGGTCCCACGAGTCGCTGACAATTTTTTTAAATACTGATAGATATTAAAATGGACAAAAGGAGAGAAAAAAATTTCATTGTGAGAGAATTATTTACACAAAATGACAATGAGATTTGGAAAGAAATAAAATAAATCTTATAAGAGAGACAAACACACACAAAAAAATAATATAATAAAATTAATGAAAAAAAAATTTCAATTTGTACACGAAATAAAGTAGTTTACGAGCAAAAGCAATCCTCAACAATCATGTGCGGAATTGTACCAAGAATAATGTTTAAATTTGCATCAAAATACAGAAGTTGCATTGATGACATTTTACGAGGTGAACAGCAGGGATTCGCTGCCGTACTTAGCTGCACGACGTGCGTATGCGCGTACTTTTGCATAAATGCTATCTGACACTCGCCTGCACAATAATTTGCATCGTATCGTTTCGGTGCGATAATCCAATCCCATCCGAACTTTTCGAAATCTACTGTTAATGGATGTCGACAACATCGATGCTCCGTGCTGTCTTTTGGACAAATCAGATGACTGCGTTTTGTTCGCCTTTTGCGCTGATCTCGTGGAAGAATGTCGAGGTATGGACGCTGGAATTGGAAGTAAATAGAGGAAATTATTAGGTTTTTTATTATTTTTGGATTCAAGCATATTTAATCATTTAGGTACTGAATCTATTGTTCCTGACTCTGAGATATCAAAGTTAATTTTTTAAAGCCCCCTCCCCTCCCTGGATACCGAATTTATTGTTTCAGACCCTCTGGATACCGAATCTATTGTCTTAAACCCCTGGATACCGAATCTATTGTTTTAGACTCCCCTGGATACCGAATTTACTGTTTTAGACCCTCTGGATACCGAATCTACTATTTCAGACCCTCTGGATACCGATTCTATTGGTTTAGACCCTCTGGATACCGAGTCTTTTGTTTTAGACTCTCTGGATACCGAATCTATTGTTTTAGACCCTCTGGATACCGAATCTATTGTCTTAAACCCTTTGGATACCGAATCTATTGTTTCAGACCCTCTGGATACCGAATCTATTAGCTTAAACCCTTTGGATACCGAATCTATTGTTTCAGACCCTCTGGATACCGAATCTATTGTCTTAAACCCCCTGGATACCTAATCTTTTGTTTTAGACTCTCTGGATATCGAATCTATTGTTTTAGACCCTCTGGATACAGAATCTGCTTCTGAACAAATTCATTTTGGAATACTTCATTCTTTATCCCTGTTTCAAAAGCTACAAGACCACAAATAATCTTGACCACAGCATCATCCAGCTTCTTCTTCACAATTATCTTTAGGCTCAATTCTCTCCCGTCTGAAAAACCACATCAACCACAACGGCATAACAACTTTATACAACAAGCACGTACCGATCTGACATATCGTTGTGATTTATTATGTACAATATCAGTCAATATTTACATTCCGTCAGTCGTGTACTCAAGTCAAATGGCTGGATGCAACATTGTTGCTGGCAATGCCCATTGATCTAATGAGAGCAATTAAGAGCACTTGGCGCATGTAAGACTTTTGATTGCAATTCTAGTATTTTTTTTTTATTGTCGCCGACGACAACTTTCGCTTGTATTTGTTAACAACTATCTGACTGTGCTGATGTGGATTTTTCCGCGAGAGAATCATTCTTATTTTGTATATTGAGCTGATCATGATGATGACTTGGTCTTATGGATGATTTTTTTTTATGACATGCTTTAATATTGTGATTTCTTTTTGGGTAGGTCAGGATCGCAATAGTCATCATTAAAATGTTATTTTTTTTTATAATCCAATGAAACTTTTGCCACACGACTATGGATGTATTGTGATTTTTTAGTTCCTTATCATTTATTGAACTAGAATATAGTCAGAATGTGTGACTGTATTGTAGGATTGGCGTATTTGAATGAGCATATGGAGAGATTCTGATGTAAATAGGTGCTAGGTTTGATACTATGGACTATAGAGTCTAGGTTAACATAAGGCATGGAGGAACAGTCTTTCTGTTTTAAACTCAAGGTCTTGAAGATCAATGTTACTTAAAGCAACACTCCAAGAGTATGATTGTCTGTCCTATACCCTGATATTTGACCAAGGTGTGACCCTAGTCAAAAAACTATAAATACCTAGCACTACCCTAGCAAAAACCAGTCAACCGTCCTAATTATCTAGCACTCAGCTTCCAGGAAGAATATTTTGTAACGTAGAAAACAAGTCTGAGAGTAAAATTACAAAATTCATCAATAAAATCCAGATTGATAAGTGAAACATCTGAATGTAAAAATTCAGTCACTAAGTGCAAACAAGTTGCTATTAATAGTGACTGCAATTAGTCTATAGAATGATGTAAAAATACTAGTATGCTGATTCATGAGGCGCTAATCTCAGAGATTATAAGAGGATTATTGTAAAAAAAATGATAAAAATTCTCACCTTAAGATTATTTCCACCATCAAGCGATACAAAATTATGCGACAGCGCTGACCCGTCCACCGATGATTTAATTTTAATCACAATCCCATGAGTAGTATTATGTGAATGGAACCATTTAGACACCAAAGTAGTCACATTAAGTTGCACATATTGTCCATCGCCTGCATCTGGTATCGTATAATTTGGAAATACTTCAAATAATGCCGTATGTCGTCCAGTCTCTAATGTCTGATGAATCTCAATGTCAATTCCCGTCAAGTCATTGGGAATGTTCTTAGAATTGAGAAATTTTCGGCTGTTTAGAAAAATGTTTAATGATGCATGCACGACCGCATTATTATTCTCTTGATTCTCATCGAACGTGAATTTTAAATAATTTTTATGGCGAGCTTTCGATGCGGCTATAAAGAGAGAGAGAACAGAACAGAAAAAAATATAAAATAAATAAATTGAGAATGAGAAAATGAAATTTGATTTTTTTTAAAGGATGCGAAAAAGATTTAACCTTGAACTCTATTTCCAGTTCACCCATTAATCGCGATACTACTTCGTCTTACTCTTCCTTCTTATTCCCAACAATATCATCATCATCATCATCATCATGCAATCTTCATTTCACTTACTTTATGCCTTATTCTTATACAAAATACACAAATGCACAGGAATAAAAAAATAAGAAAAAAATACACTCAAAAATTCACACAAGTGCAATTCTAAGTTTGTAGATTTGTATTCAACTGACTCTGCTTTATTCTCATGTGATCGTCATTTACTCATGATCATGATGATGGCTTTTTTTTTGCTTGTTGCGGTATAAATCAAACGAGTATGACTTTAAAATTGGACAATAGATTCATATTTTGAGTCATTACTGCATGAATGTTTTGAATATGTTCGGTTTTGTGATAAAATTTGCCGTTCAGCTTGAATTCGTTTTAAGTCTCTTCACACAAGAATTATTCTGTTCAGGTGTCTTCACACTAGAGTCATTTTGTTCAGGTGTCTTCACACTAGAGTCATCTTGTTCAGGTGTCTCCACACTAGAGTCATTTTGTTAAGGTGTTTTCACACTAGTCTCATTTTGCTCGGGTGTCTTTACACTACAGTAATTTTGTTCAGGTGTCTTCACACTAGAGTCATTTTGTTCGGGTGCCTTCACACTAGAGTCATGTTGTTCAGGTGTCTTCACACTAGAGTCATTTTGCTCAGGCGTCTTCACACTAGAGTCATTTTGTTTAGGTGTCTTCACACTAGAGTCATTTTATTCAGGTGTCTTTACACTACAGTAATTTTGTTCAGGTGACTTCACACTAGAGTTATTTTATTCAGGTGTCCTTACACTACAGTAATTTTGTTCAGGTGACTTCACACTAGAGTCATTTTGTTCAGGCGTCTTCACACTACAGTCATTTTGTTCAGGTGACTTCACACTATAGTCATTTAATATTAAAGCCTTCACTCTAGAGTTTTAGATACTTTAAAACCCACTCCTACTCTTAATACAGCAATGAAAAAAACAAAAGAACCAAAATCTTAAACCTTAGCTAAAAACAGAGCACAAAAATTGCATGATTCAATTCAAAGAAGCGCGAAAAGATTCACTTATCAGTTTTAAAGGAACCAAGAAGAAAGAAACAAAAAAAACTGTGTGAATGCAAAATATTTGCGGGGTTACCGACCATCAAAGCATCAAAAAAATATTTTTTTGTTTTTTTTATTCCTCGAGGCTTACAAGTTTTTTAATGGTGTAGCGACAATACGTGCAGTTTTAAAATGCATCTAAATTTAGAATATTTTTGGAGTCATGCAGAACATTTTCTTGCGAAATTGAACAATTTTTGTCAAAAAAATTCATTAAGTCAATTTTATTGATCATCAAATGTCCATTAAGGAGTAAATTTATGCTTCATTTAAATTGTGAATCCAAATGACTTAATTGAATGTGCAAATTGGCATTTGAGAATGCATAAAAGAACTTCTGTCGATTATTATTAAGACATTACCGTCCTAAGCATTGCACAATGAGCAATCAAACTTACTTTGTTGCATTGAAAGGCTTACCTTGCATTTTAAACACAAAAATAAATCTCATAAAAATCCACACAAATTTTCTAGAGCATCCACACACATTCTTTATTGCCATCCTTCATACTCACTTATTATGCATACATTTCACGCAAGTAAATCAATCGGTGAATGAATAATTCATGCCAAATGACATATATCGATTGAGATTGATAAATAAGCACCTTTTACATTTAATTTACATCGTAAATTTTTATCGATTTTCTCGCTTTTAAATTTTTTAATCGAGGAACAGAAAAAGACGTGCAACGCGATGAGAAGAAAATGTGTGAGAGAACAAGAGACAATGTTGGAAAATCGGATATTAAATCAATTTTCATAAATTTCCATTTTATGCAATGAATAAAGGGAGCCAGAGCAGTTGATTTGTAGGGGGTTTGGTTCATTTTGACTCTTGAGTTCCCCTTTTGATCCTTGTGTACCCCTTTCTGAATCTTGAGTACCCCTTTAAATCTTGATTACCCTTTTTGACTCTTGGAAACCCACTTTGACGCTTTAGTACTCCTTTTTGTCTCTTGTTTACCCCCTTTCATCTCTTGTGTACCCCCTACCTCATTTTGTCTTTTATGTACCCCCATTTGTCCTTTAAGTACTCCTTTGACTTTTGAAAACCCCTTTGATGCTTAAGTACCCCTTTTTAACTCTTGAGTTCAATTTTTTACTCTAAAGTACCCCTTTTGACTCTTGTGTACCCTTTTTTTACTCTTGTGTACCCCTTTCTAAATCTTGAGTACCCCTTTTGAATCTTAATTGTCCTTTTTTTACTCTTGGGTACCCTTTTTTGACTCTTATGTACCCATTTAGACTCTTGTGTACCCCTTTTTGACTCTTTAGTACCCTTTTTTGACTCTTTAGTACCCATTTTTGGCTCTTGAATACTCCTTTTTGTCTCTTGACTACCCATTTTGACTCTCGAGTACCCTTTTTGACTCTTGAGTACCCCATTTAGATTCTTGAGTACCTCTTTTCACTCTTGTGTACCCTTATTGACTTATGAGTGCCCCTTTTTCAACTCTTGTGCATCCCTTTTGAGTCTTGAGTTTAATTTTCGACTCTCGAGTACCATTTTTGACTCTTGAATACCTCTTTTAGATTCTTGAGTACCCCTTTTCACTCTTGTGTACCCTTTTTGACTTATGAGTGCCCCTTTTCAACTCTTGTGCATCACTTTTGAGTCTTGAGTTTAATTTTCGACTCTCGAGTACCATTTTTGACTCTTGAATACCCCTTTTAGATTCTTGAGTACCCCTTTTCACTCTTGTGTACCCTTTTTGACTTATGAGTGCCCCTTTTCAACTCTTGTGCATCACTTTTGAGTCTTGAGTTTAATTTTCGACTCTCGAGTACCATTTTTGACTCTTGAATACCCCTTTTAGATTCTTGAGTACCCCTTTTCACTCTTGTGTACCCTTTTTGACTTATGAGTTCCCCTTTTCAACTCTTGTGCATCCCTTTTGAGTCTTGAGTTTAATTTTCGACTCTGGAGTACCCTTTTTGAATCTAAAGTACCCCATTTCGACTCTTAAGTATCCCCTTTGGATTTTTGGGTCCTAATTCTGATCATTTAGCCTTCCTTTTGACTCTTCTATAATCGTTTGGACTTTTAAGTGAGAAATGCGCCTTATCAACATGACCCAACTTTATCCTTACTTGCCATCAAACTCCTTCATAATAAAATGCACATAAAATGATAATTTAGAGAAATTTCTTGCTCAGAAGATATAAAAAAAATTAAATGCAAATCAAATTAATGTACATAATTGTTGTGAATCTATAAAATTACAATAAATCATTATCATACTTGTAACCCGTATTATGTTAATTATTTCATCAATAAATGCGTTAAATCTCATATTAAAATTATTATGATAAATTATAATGTTGAAATTGAGAACTAATTGAATAATTTGTAAGTGAATTAATGAAATAGAAAGCTAATAGGTTTGGGAGGTCATTTAAGCTATCTGATCCCCATTAACCCACAGATCCAGTAGTTATTTAATTCATATCGCACTTACAGCCGCACTTTTATTAACAGAAATAGAATCGCGCACACTTTTCATTGTTGTAATGCATAAATAGTAAAATGATGCAAACTAATAAAGCTAGTAGCTGCGATGAGCGATGAAGTGCCATAAATAAAATTAAATTCATCTTGATGAGTGCAATAAACAATATTGTGAGATGCAAATCCAATAAAAAGTAAAGATTGTTGTAATGTGATAGGTTTGAGGCTTGCGATTTGCAATTTTATTGGCATTTATGAGTCGTTTTTATTGGTCTGATGTGAATTTTATGGGCATTTAGTGTGAGAAAAATACTGTTTTGAATGTGTAGCAGGATGTGTAGTTGAGGAAGTTGTGGTTGTAAAGGTTTGTCTAGGAATGAATGAAGTGAATTTTTGGAGCCAATGAGAAGTTTGTTTGAGTTTGGTCATGAATATGTTAGAAGCTACATATTGAAGCTCTTAAGTGAGCTAGGGTTGCAATAGTACCCTCGTGGCTCGGTTTTTATTGCTTTCTAACCAAACTTTAATTAACTGTGCCTTAAATTCCATACTAGGATTACAATTTGACTGAGACTAGCGTAGTCTAACCCGGTTAGTCACAGAAACTTGCCTCAGAAGCCGAAGATCCACTTAACTTTAGTAATTGATAAATAATCCTAAGAAACCATGAATAATCGTTAAATCCAAGACGACAATCAATAAATAGACTAAACCTAAGCTAGATGTGTTCCACAGCCTCCAACAACTAGCAGCATTTACATTTTGTTGCTTTCTTTGTACAAATTGATTTCGGAAATGGTAGGTTGCAAACCTTAACATTCCTAGCCTGATTATGGGGCTGCAACCCTCCAGGCGAGGTTGTTTGTTGGATAGGCTTTTAATCTATCCTCTCAAGTACATACTCCGGCACAGGGCTCGGTCGCCAGCGGTGTATTTAGAAGATTACCAAGAGAAGGTATACACTTGAAATTTGGTCAGCTTTGGAGTCAGACTTCGGCTTCGAAAATCCCCATAGCAGCATATAGTCTCAAATCTAATCACAAAACCTCAATTACCATTTCAAACTCATTTGGACCAAATCAAAGCCAGTTTCACAAACAACGCATTTTAACATACAATTGACAATAAATGACATTCAAGTGGGTTAAAATGCATCGTCATTACATCATGTGCTTGATGTACACAAAACACTTCAGAACCTTAATTCTTTGAAGTGGATAATCAGTGACTAATGGTTTATTGAAATTGAAATACATTTGACTTCAAAGACCTTCTGGTGCTTGAGGTTTGATTTGGGGTGATATTGTG